GGGAAAGTCCGCAGCCCTGTATGGGTTCACTATGCACCCTCTCTCCCGAATCCCTAAGGAACACGGGGAGAGCGCAAGTGCCCCCCATGTCCCCACACTCAGATACTGTTGCCCCAGCAAGCACAGACGCCTAGAAAGAGCCAGACATATCCAAGAGATAAAACTTTATGAAGAGGCCTGGCATTGACCAAGACGCAGCTGTGCATATATCCTCCACACTCACACCACTGAACAAAGCTGTTGACGCAGCCACAGCTCGTGTGGAGTGCGCACGGATCCCCGTGGGAGAGGCTCTCCCTGCACGCTCGTAGGCGTGTGCAATGCCTCCGCAAAGCCAGCCTGTCAGGCGTTTCTTGGACAGAGCTTTTCCAGTCACCCCGCCCCCGAAGCACACAAACAGCTGTTCAGTGCGTCTCAGGGTAGCTGTGTGCTCTACATAACATGCTAACGCGCGCACCGGGCAGAGGAGGTGTAATTTAACTTCCCTGGCCCCACCATGGGATGGAAGACTAAATCCCCCCAACTGAATAGCCCTCGACCTGAACGCACTCCTTAGGCTCTTGGGCACAAAGGAGGGGTTCGGTCTGAGTGTCGCCCCGCTCCGGTCACCCCGAATCAACAGGCAACTCGGGTGCACCGACAGAGCGGTCAACTCGGACACTCTTTTGGCTGACGTTAAGGCAAGTAGCAATGCTGTCTTCCACGACAGTGCTTTCAGGGAGGAGAGCTCAAGAGGCTCAAATGGTTCTGTGACCAGAGCCTCGAGCACCAGTGGCAGGTCCCACTGCGGGGCGGAGCCGTGCACTACTGGGCGCAGCCTCCTGACCCCCTGTAAAAACCGCACCATCAGTGGATGAGAAAAGGCTGACCTGCTGCATACACTTTTACCGTATAATGAGCAAGCCCTCTGTCCACCAATAACTGTAAGAAGGATAAAATAGAGCCCAACTCACAAGATAGGGGCTCTATTCTCCGATCCTCACACCATCGCTGGAATCCCAGCCACTTCGGCCTGTAACAGGCTGTGGTGGATCCTGCTCTCGCTGCCTGGATAGACTGAGGCCCCGCTCACACGGGACCGTTTGCGTTTATGCACAGTATGCGTATTCAAAAAAGTCTTCCGTTCACATGCATTTGTTTCATTTAACGTGTCTGTTCAAACGAGGCCGCTGGAAACGCTGTAGTACATATGCTGGGACTGTAAGTGGCGCTGTAACTTCCGCCAAAATACACCAAAAGCCGCGAAGAAGAGCAACCCGAGCAGCCCCCTGCAATGTTGCCATGGCTACCCTTCTGTTTAAGCCCCGAAACTGAAACTGAAAGAAACCGAATGTGTGGATATTGCATCGACCAGAAGCACGTCTCTGTGGAGAGGACGGCTCAGAAAGAGAGATATTCTCTACAAACACCGGGTGAGATCGCACCTTTGTCAATATAATGGATCAATGCATGAAATCTGACTCTGTTTATTTTGTTTAAGGAGTATATTGGGCGTTAACAATTCTGGTTTGCCTTTTATAATATTATTTCATTCAAGAACCCCTTGTGCGTTTAATTAACACAGCTATTTTTGATAGTTGCTACAGCAGAGAGGTGGGGCTATCGCAATTTTTTCAGGAAATATTCGTATAGAGGTGATTACACGGACTCGGTTGACCCCCCAGAGCGTTTCGTTTGCAAATCTATCCACCTTGGGACCCGTTATTGTTTGTGGGGTCAGTTTCTATCGGCCTCGTGTAAATAATAGGGCTATACGCACGCGAAACTATGCAGATACAAGCAGTTTTCTCCTCGTGTAAACGGCGCCTAACGCTGTCAGACAATCCACCCTGTCTCAGCCTGTCTCTCTCAGGAGCCAAGCCTGGAGAGGAAGGCCCAGAGTGGGTAACGCCCCGATTGCACCTGCCTCTTGAGACATCGCCCCCCAGAACTGGGGCTACCAGGGCTGGCCCACCTTCATCTGTGTCACCTCTGAGTACCACGGAGCCCCGACGCGATCCGGTGCTACTAGGATGACTGCCAGACGTTCTCGCCTCACTCTCCCTCGGAGAGGGAGAATGAGACGCAGCGGTGGAAAGGCGTATAGCAGCTTCCTTGGCCATGGCTCGTGTGCAAACGCGTCCACCCCCAAGGGCAGGTTGTCGCTCAGGGCCATGGAGAACCACAGTGTGCAAATTGGGGAGAAAAAAAAAAAAAAAGTTAGAAATTTAAAAAATATATATTTTTTAAATTTCATAACACAATTTCCCAATTTTGGATCAACAAAGTACATCTTATTATCTTATACTAACATAACTACGCCTATATTGTGTATAGCGTGCATAAACTATGGCGCACCCCCCCCCCCCCAAAATCAAGTTGAACTGCCCCAGCCCCAGTAAAAACCAGAGGTTTATGTGAAATTGTTCTTTTTTTGAAATAATGGTTTTAGTGTGCAATTATAGGTTTTAATTTTGTATTTGTGTTAATTTAAAATAAATCAAACTCCCAAAAAACGTACACAGTTTCTGTGTGCTTTTGTTAACATTAGAATTGACTGTGTAAGCGGCCGCGGGGGGGGAGCTTTAGAGAGCTCTCTCCTGAAAGACTGAGAGGCTCTGATAACCTCAGCTCAGTGAGGTAAAGGCACACCTTTATATGATCATTGTAGTTATAAAAAAATAAGAGAATAGATGAAAAACAGGTATAAAATACATATGACAGTAAAAAAAAGTTGTTATTAATAAACAAGAATAGAGTTTAAAAGGGGAGTGATTTGTAAAATATCCATAAAGAAAAAGTAAATCTGTTTACAGTTCTGTTTCATATTGATGTTGAGAGATGTATCCATAGATCTCTTCATTTTGCTCTCAAAGTGCACCAGATTGATGCTTTTAACTTCAATATTTAAAAAAAATAATCTTCCCGGGGGAGCATGCCCCCGGACCCCCCTAGAGGAGGTTAGGTCCACTTAAATCATGTTCACATGGATAAGAAACTAAAAAAATGTTTGCGTTTTGCACACATCTTGTGTCCATATCTTTCTGTTTTGGTGGTCATGCCACAACCGTGCACGTGCATGCATGCGTGAGTCATAGTGAGTGTCTGCATTTTGGGGTGGGGGGGCGCCAGCTAAAATCTTGCCTAGGGCAGCAAATTGGTCAGGGCCGGCCCTGGTGCCTCCTGTCATCATGAATGGACGTCTCTTTAAAATGACTACTCAGAGGAGAGGATTTCTCATTTCTCTAACCGCCTGCTGCTTCCACTCCTCTCTCCTCGGTTCCCCTCCTCGACTCCTCCGCTCGCATCTTCTGTGGGCGGGACTAAGACACGAGGATAGGAGTCGAGGAGGGAAGTCGAGGAGGGGACATTAGAGAATTGAGAAGCCTTCTATGAAATCAAGGAAAATGTTGACAGTCTCAAATACCTTAACGTAAGGCCATTTAAAGACCAATGTTTAACCTGTCTCTTTATGCTCTTTTTTTTCCAAATGGATGTTAAATGAACCTAAATAACCGAGGCTGCATTCTACAAGATCATTACATTGTGCCACCATGTTCATCATCTTTAGCTTATTGATGATGCATGAGTTTTTTGGGAGGGTTTTCTCAAAACATACAAGAATCCTTTATCCTTTAGTTTAGTTTTTGTTAAAGAAAACAATCTAAATTAAAACATCTTCAGATGGATCCACTGGACTGAAAGAGGGTGAGAAATTGGTATCTGTTAAATAATTAAATCTGACTGTCAGAAAAATGTAGCCAAGCAGAGTAAGAAGTACAATATTAACCCCTGAGATGTATTTGAGAAGAAACATAAAGAAGCATACAAGGGAAATAATCAAGAAAACGACATAAAATAGGTAATGAATAAAGCTATAATACTTCAGTAGGCCTATAGACTTTGTCAAAAAGATAAACACAAAAACAGTCACTGCCCCAAAAAAACTACAACATTGAATCCACTAGATGCCACTGTTGAATATAGCATTAACACTAACGAAGAAGTGTCTGACTTCCGGGTGAGCAGTACATAACCAGGAAGCGGGCCTCTCCTCGTTCCTTTTTCTCAAGAGCTAAACCACGTTGGTAGCTCATTTTCCTGGCTCACCGCTGTTCGTCTGAATTTCTTCCGAATAAGTCGGTCAGGGATACTCAAAATGGTATGTGTTGTTTGAATATAACTATTCTCTTGTAAGCAAAGTTTCCTAGTAGTGAATTTGTGTTTCATTGCTTAACCTAAACGATTTTAATGAAGGCTACTTGCTAACGTTAGCTACAGCTTAAGCTACCCGAAGTAGATGTCCCGCCAGATATCATTCACTAACTGGACTGCGTAATAATAATCCTCTGTTTAACAACATTATAAACCTGTTGGTACATAAGAAATATTGTATATCGTAAATCAAGACGCACTCTATAATTCGGCCTACTTAAAGTGCTCCAGCATCCATTGCTTACAGTTGCAGCATGTTAGTGTAGTGCCCCCATTGTGTCATATAGTTGGAAAAAGAGAAAAAGCAGATGGCCGCTTATTAACAAGTTGGGTGCATGCATCGACGGTGGAACTAGTCCATGGGTTATCTTAAACGACAATGTTTGTAGTAAATACTTTTTAATAGTTTAATATTAGGAATTCCACGTGCTAGTTCGTCGTGATGCATTTAGGTGCTCCACGTACATCTCCAGCGTGTTTGAAATCCGTAACCATTTGAAGTTCTATCCCGGCTTATTTAACTTAAAAATCATCATATGCTATTTCTTCATGGATTAAGCCCTATAGTTATGTTGCATATCATTTTAAAAGTCCTTTTAAACATAATGGTATTTCAAGACTAGTGTTTTTATGTTCCCCCCCCCCCCCCACACACTTTTTTCAGGCTTTCAAGGACACTGGAAAGGCACCTGTTGAGACTGAGGTTGCCATTCACCGCATCCGCATCACCCTCACCAGCCGCAATGTAAAATCTCTGGAGAAAGGTAAATAAGCTCATAATACTTTGTGGAAATGTAACCTGTATGTGAGCGATGAAGACACACTTCCATCGGATAAACCATGACGATGTGATATACGCTATTCTGAGCCATTGCTTTAAAATATCATGAGGACATTTTTGTTTGCTCGTGTTTTTAAAATGGTCTTTTTTTTTTGTAATCAGTCTGTGCAGACTTGATCCGTGGGGCTAAGGAGAAGAGCCTGAAGGTGAAGGGACCAGTCCGCATGCCAACCAAGGTACTGATATACATACACCTGAAATGTATTTATATTAATACATCGAATATAGGCTCCCAGTAACTTGGATGTGGCAATTTGGATTCAAGCTAAAACTGTTTTCTCCCCCCCTCCAGACCCTGCGCATCACCACCAGGAAAACTCCCTGTGGTGAGGGATCCAAAACCTGGGATCGCTTCCAGATGAGGATCCACAAGCGCCTGATTGATCTGCACAGTCCATCTGAAATCGTCAAGCAGATCACCTCCATCAGCATCGAACCTGGTGTAGAGGTTGAAGTAACCATCGCTGATGCATAAATGATGCAGCTGACTGAATAAAGAAATAAAAAAACTGTATTTATTGACTGCTGTTACTTTCTGAAGCATATTACTATATTTAAAGCTCAACTGCCCTTAAATGGCAGTTTGTGCGACAGGTATTTTGAAAATAATAAACTAGTAAACATGATTTTTTTTTTAGTTTCACCTGACGGATGTACTTAATTGAACTAATGGTGTTTACTACACTCGGGCAATAGATTCTCCACTCTTCCACAACTAATTCCTCGCTAATTCGGTGGAGTGTATTATACAGCTTTGTGCAGTTCTCAAAAGAATTTAATGCATTCTCATTTGTTGACTGCCCACTTGAATGGGAATGAAGATGACCATTGCATATCAAAGCTGCGTTAGAGTTGAAATGCCAAAAATAAGAAAATGTTCACCGCACATTATTTTGCCCTTTTTTTTTAATAAAGTCATCCTTTGCTTGTTTATAGCTCAGATCTGAAAGGTACAGACTATTTTTAGGCAAAAAAAACAAGTGATGGATACAGAATGACTAGCAACCATATAGCAATGGTCGTATTAGACCAAGTAAAGATATAGTTGCTGAGTTTTGTATATTGCTGTAACTTTAGGTGACTAACAAAAACAGTCTTACTATTTGGCCTATTAAAGGTTGTCTTTTATGCAAAATCCACTTCATGTCTTACACATGAACATGTGTAAAGAGATTCTGAAAGTTTCAGGAAAAAAGATTTGCTCACTTTGTGTCCTGATCCATTTATATAAAAACCTGAAAATCAGATTTTGGCCACTTGGTGTCATACGATTTTTGGGCTTGTGTAACCATTAGCGAATAACCAACCAAGGTAACACCCGCTCACCTTATCACCTGAATCTCCTAGCACTTTTGAAACGGGATTATGGGATGCTGCAATGATCTGTTTGGTTTTTCGAGTCAAACCCTTCAGAGACATGTTTTGTATATATCTGAGACCTATAATATATTGATGAAAAACAGTGTAATAGGAGACCATTAAAGGAAAGTTAACACATGACTTAAATACCATTTTTCATCCCCTATAACTACTGAGATATTCAGAAAATCATCCTCAAATGATGATTTGGCATATACCTGTTAGCTTAAGTGGAGTCCTGGAAGCTGGTTGATCTGTCTTAGGTGATTTGCTTGACTTCAGACCTGCTTTCAATTAAAACTGATTAGGCCTACAAGCTCCGCCTCCATCTGCCGACCTACATGTGGGTGAAATAAGTCATTTCAAAGGGCCCATTTTCCGGTCTATTGTCTTCCAACGATACATTTGGCTAAATCTTATTTTGTGTAGAAAAGTGATCACTACTTTGTTCAGTACATTAGGCTTGTTGGAGCTGCTTTGTCTCAAAATGAGTACAGTTAATTTAACCAATGAAGACAGCGAATATATGCAAACTGGTGACATGGACATTACTTATATTTCAACTTCATCCCAGCAGGTAAGGTTTTTCCCTTTTTTTTGTTTTTATCTAACAGTGATCCACTTCATATTTTCAGGTTTAATTTGTAGTGGGATTGTCTTCTTTGTTTGTAGACTGAGCTGCCAGGTGGAGCTGAGCAGCAGACCATGAGAGTTTACCTCAGAGTCAGGCCTTTCTCTAAAGAGGAACTCTCTGACAAGGAGGATCAGGTACAGCACGGTGCCAAGCAGTCCATGTAGTGTTAAATACAGTAGCTAAAAAGCAACAATGAATATGATCAGAGGGTTTTTCAACCCAGGGAATCTACTTTGGGAGGGCACTTTTATATTTACTTTCAATAAAACGCAAGAGCCTCCTCCGCATTATTTATATTTTATTTGGACGCTGTCCCTAACTGCAATATACATCCCCTGTACCTCTAACTACATTTTAATCCACGTAATTGAAATAAAAGGCTAACTTCAAACATAACCTGTGATTATAAATATCCATGACCATTGTGTTTTTCAAAAATAACGTATTGGTCCTATGATCTGAATGTCTTATTTGGGAAATTAAGCTCAGTTATAGAAAGTTAAAAGTTGTCAAAATGCACCTTTTTATGAACTACTGTGCATAATTTAGCTTTTTTCCCCATTCAGGACTGTGTAGGGATTGAAAACAGCCAGACTGTGACACTGAATGCACCAAAGGGTTCTGCCACCATGAAGAGCAGTGAAAAGGGCATTGGCATGTCGCTGCACAAGTTCTCCTTCTCACAGGTCTGCAGCATTTGAAATTGTATAAACATTTACATATCTGCACTCTCATTTATATCCAACCGACTGTTTTTCTGTTGGCTTTTAGATTTTTGGGCCAGAAATTATGCAGTCTGAGCTATTTGAGGCCACAGTCAAAAGCCAGATGTCTGATTTCGTGGATGGGAAGAATGCACTGCTATTCAGTTATGGTGTAACCAATGCTGGGAAAACCTACACAATCCAAGGTAAAGATGGAAACACACCAACAATGGAATGCACTTGTATCAGTTTCACATGTCCTATGAAGTCCTATGCCAGTTTGAACATAATAAAATGTTTTAGGAACTCCAAAAGAGCCGGGAATACTCCCTCGGGTGCTGGATGCCACCTTTCAGTACATAGGAGGCCATCTGTATGATGGGATGGACCTGAAGCCCTACCTCAGGAATGATGCCCAATATCTGGACCCTGACCAAGTCAAGCAGGAGAAGAGTGCTAAAGCGGCCATTTTTGCTTCAGTCAAAGAAGTGAGCGAGTTATATCAGACCTGAGATGCTTTCTCAGCCTTTGCTGAAAATATTCCTAAGAATTTAAAATGAATAAAACCAGAAATGCTTTAACATGTATATCTATTTTCTCCCATATAGGAGTGTGCACCTCTTGGATCCAGTGGTTTAGAGTCCTGTTCTGGTGAGTGACGACTGTCCCGCATACTCTTCTTTATCCTACAATCAAACTGGTAGCCCTTTCTAATTCTACACACTAAACATTAATTGTCTGGCAATTTATAAACCGTTTAAGATGTAAGTTGTCCCACTGTAGACTCTGGTGAGAGTGTAGGTCAGAACAATGCTACCGGTTCTTTCTCAGAAGTTTTAGTTTTGTCTTCTGCTCTCTTGTTCTTCTCTTTTTAGCGTTGACAAGCAACCCAACAGAAGCAGACAGCAGCCAGTTTGCATTATGGGTAGCATTCTTTGAAATCTACAATGAGTGTGTGTATGATCTGCTTCAAGCTTCCCTGGGCTCCAAGTCTAAGAAACGGTCTTCTCTTCGAGTGTGCGACGATGGTGCTGGAAATTCTTATGTCAAAGGTTTGTGCACAACTTAATCGTGTGTTCTTAAATTGGCAGAAATATATATCAGCAGTAGTCTTTGTGTAGCTTATGATGGCATTGAACAACAATGTGTGTTTTTAAATGATTTCAGATCTCAGGTGGATAAACATCCACACCCTGGGTGAAGCTTCCAAAGTACTACAGTTTGGAAACAAAAACAGAAGTGCCGCAGCCACAAAGATGAACCAGTCATCCAGCAGAAGGCAATCTTTCCATTTCATCACATTTTTACTCTGCATCATTATCCGTCTTCATAACTTACACCAGCTTTCCTTACAGCCACAGCATATTTACCATAAAGTTACTGAAGATCGAGGACGGTACAGTTACACAGATCTCAGAGTAAGTGACGTCATTAACATTCAGACGCTGCTTTTGTGTTGTTTGTACTGGCATCCTGAATTACCACTCTGATAGCTCCACCACCATGGGAGCTACAGAAAATAAATAAATTGATTTCTTGTTCTTCAGGTTTTCTCTGTGTGACCTGGCTGGCTCTGAAAGATGCAACAAAACCAAGACATTTGGCGAGAGGCTGAAGGAGGCAGGGAACATCAACAACTCCCTGCTTATTCTGGGGAAGTGCCTCACTGCTCTACACAACAATCAGACTGAGGGGTACAGTTGCTTAAGTGAAGAAAGTCAGCATTGACCCTTTACAATTTAGACATTTGTTTAAGTTTTCTTTCTCCTGTGTTCATCAGAATGAAGAACAGCTACATCCCTTTCAGAGAGAGTAAGCTAACCAAGCTCTTCCAGGCTGTGTTCTGCGGCAAAGGAAGAGCGTCCATGATCGTGAACATTAACCAGTGTGCTTCCACCTACGATGAGACTCTCCATGTTATGAAATTCTCTGCTGTTGCCAAACAGGTCTGGGTACATAATGATGTGAAAGGGAGTGGTACAATGAGCTGAATTCACTTCAGTCCTAATCCTACCTGTGCTCTCTGTAGGTGGTGCAGGTGATCCCAGACAAGCCTCTGAAATCTCTTGGACCTTGTTTGGTTGGCCGTGATGGCAAGCCCCTGGTGAAGAATGGGGTGATAGACACCGAGGCCCTGGAGAGCTTCCTGTCTGAGGAGGAGCTGCTGGACGAGGAAGACGAGGCAAACATGTCTTTGGCGACGGAGAATGTACAATATCTTCTTCATATCACATTCATATCACATTCAAAAACTGTTTCCTAAATGTATCGGAGATCCGGTATGTCAGACATTCTTTGATTATGTCTCTATAAGTCAGTCCCATGCCATTTACATCATAGGACAAACCCTAACTGTTATCTATAACATTTGTAAGGGTCAGTCTAGCACTTCACTGAAACATCTCAACTATGTCACTAATAACGAAAGTCTTCTGTAGACATTCATGGTCCCCAGAGGATGATCCTACTGACTTAAGTGATCCCCTGACCTTTCTTATAAAGTCTCACCATGAAATTGATGCTTGTGGTTTTAGTTTAGTACTAGTTTGCAAGCTAGCACAAAACACTATAAAGGACCAATATAAATACAGCAGTCTGGGAATGTTTAACCTTCACTATCTCAAGTAACTGTTTCACTTTGAATCTTCTAGGAGCTTGCAAATATGATTGAGAGCCTGCGAACAAAACTACTAGCAGAGCGAAAAAGAAACCTTGTTCAGGAAATGGAGATCCGAAATGAAATGGGGGATGCTATGTTACAGCAGCTCATGGAGAGTGAGGAACTCCGCAGGTATGTTATTTTTCATTTGCAAGAGAAGGCTAGTTATTCAGCTGCTGCTGATGGTGCCCAAGACCAGGCTCAAAACCCAAGGGGACCGAGCCTTCGCAGCAGCTGGCCCTAGGCCCTGGAACAGTCTGCCCCTGCATGCGAGGTCGGCCCAGACCCTAGGGTTTTTTAAATCCTCACTGAAGACTCACTTCTTCTCTCTGGCCTTCTAGTCAGAGCGGAGTACGACTCCTGACATTTCCCTGTGTTTTGTTTTTATATTTGCTGTTGTAAATTATTGTCTTCTGTTGCTATTGTAGTAAAGTGTTTTTATTACATGTACAGCACTTTGGCTCGACCAAAAATCTAATTTAATTTAATGTGCTCCTATAAATAAAACCTGATTTGATTCAGTTCTGGTATTGCATCAATACTACAGATTTCATTTTTTGTAATTGTTTCGGCATATTTGTTCTAAATGCATAACCCTCTCATATATGCAACTAAGGTCATTGGTCAGCAACAACTTCCCTTAGTGAACCTTTGTCAAAGTAAAAATGAAACTAAACTTATTAATCAAGGTTTGCTTGGAATGTTTAGTCGACAGATAGAAAAGCTGAAGGAGAGCTCTGAAGAAAAGCTGGAGAACACTTTTGAGATTTACAAGGATGCTATCAGAGAGCATGCCTACCAGAGTGCGATGAACAATCTGGAAGATGACTACGTACCTGTTGATGAGTTCATTGCTGAACAGGATAAAGTAGAGGTATGTAATGCAATCATGCACTGCTCAAATTCCGATATTCAGGTGTTGAAATGTTTGTCAAATTGGCTATGTATGGTATATCTCCTGACAAGCAGTCAGATTATTTTTTTTGGGTTGTCAATAAAACTTCACATTTCTGTCTTACTGAAGACCCTGAAGCGCAAAGTTTCTGAGTTGGAGGGTTTAACGTCCAGTATCAGAGGATTGTGTGCAGTTCCAACAGTGGACCAGTCGTGCCAGACTCATCCATATAAATCAACAGAAGCAGCAGGTTGGTATATTATTCATAAAGATGTCTCGGCACTGTCCTTTCTTAGGAAATGCCCTCTGGTATGAATATGTGTTGTATGCTCTCCTGTCCATCTTCTTTCATTTAACTTTTTGTTTTAAGGGATATAAATGTCACACTTTCTTTTCCCACAGGGGATGATCAATGCAAACATCTCTACAAAGAAAAATGTGCCATTGACAGCATTTGTGAGGATAAACAACAGGTAACAAGAATACAATAATTCTGCGTCCCAATTAAATGTTGGTTTGGTTTGGTTGTGTGATCATTTTCACATTATTTTGGGTCAGTTGATCATTTCCCTAGAGAAAAGGCTGAAGGATATCAATGTAACACTTCAGAACGCCAGAGATGGCTACCTGGAGAAATCGTCTGAATTGGATGATTTACAGAGAAAGTCCAAGGATCAGGTGAGGTGATAAGAAATATACAACGTATGGCAAATTGCACTTATAATGCATTTTAAGAATAATACATTTGAGCAGTGACCAGATCCAACATAAGACTTCACCTGAATGGAAATTATTGCTGAATATAATTTGGAGTTTTTTTGTTTTTGTTTTAGACCGAATCAATGGAGGAAACCCTATGGCAGAACGTTGAAAATGATCGGGAGATCGCCTCACTGAAATCAGAACTGGCGAAGCTTTCCCAGAAGCCCCCTGTGCAGCTCAAACCCAAAAGAGGCCTGCTCGCCAACATCAGGGACGCTGTGACTTCTCCACGAAAGACTTCAACTTCCCGAACGCCGAGAAAAACAGACAGGACTGCACACCCCTAAAAAGTCCAGTATCTGGATACAGATTTTATCATTTGGGTTTTAAATAACTATACATGGACAGCTTTAGGGTACCTGGAAAGGAAACGGCAAGCATAACATTATTTTATTCAGATTGTGTGTTTCTTATGTAATTATGTGTTTTTAGTTTTTAATAAAAATGTAATTGCTTCAAAAATTCTAAGAATTAAGTCCTGTCTTATCATTTACAATATATTTTCCTCTCATATATGGACAACTTAACTTCTCAGCACCATTTGAATATAGTCCTTCATGGCCACAAGCTGTGCTTTTTGACATAGAAATCATGTTACACTAAAGAAATGTCACGCCAAGGAATTTATGCTTTGAACATGCCTAACCTTTTATCAATCTGTTCAAAATGAGGCCATCCATTATCTACAGCCTGAGGGGGAAATGAACCACAAAAGGTTGCGAAGGGACAAAGAAACCATGTACTATGTTCAATTTCTAAGTGCATCACTATTTAATTTGCCTATTGGTCTATCTTTACACTTTGTCAGTAAGATACCTTCATTCTTAACCAATAGGAGTAACACTTCCTCTATTCGGGTAAATCTTTTATATACCATGTGGACCTTTTTATAAGTGAGTGACTGAGTTGTAAGCGGTGTTATGTGCTTGAGGTAACTGAGCGTAGCCTCCTCTCAGTTAGTGAGAGTGGCATTGTGGTAGAGACAGCTGCTCTTCTCTCTCTCTTGTCTCAGTGGTATTTAATGAGATTAGCTCTTCGTCTTGACCTGCGTCAGTGCAAGGGGGTCAATCACAGGCTTAGCATCTTGCTTAAGAGTCGCATCACTATATTACTTTTTATTTTTTCTACTTTTCTGGCTTCTTTTTTGGGACCCTTTTTAGCATCCGAAACATGTTTTGTCATCCGTAACAACTTGTCATGGGAGTGGAGTTTTGTGCATGATGCAGATTTGGGATTTTAACTCAACCCTCAGCCATTGAATGAAGCATCATCCAGGGGAAGAAGAGGTGCAGGGGCAGCCGGAGATATAGAGGGCAACTTGGAATAAAATCTGGCCAGAGTCTGAGACTCAGGACAAGTCATCCTCATGCCACTTATAAATAACAAAGTAGGCGATGATGGCACAGTTGGCAAAGACAAGGCTTTGGTTGATGGAAAGGCTCTGGTGGATTCTTTAATAAAGGTAAACGTCTCCAAATTTCAACTGTTTTTTCGTTTCAGCTTTGACTGTTGACTTAAGACAAAAAGAATGTTGTAATTAAGTTCTGCTTTAAAAAATGTAATTGTTAATGTCAAAAAAGACATGGAATATTTGTACACAAATCATCCACTGTTCGTTATAAGCAATTATTTGTTACGTCTTACTTTACAAAATAATAGTTGTTTCAACTGAGTTGACAATTTAAATGTTTTCGCCAGCAGTTACTCACTCTTTGTAATGGTCTTTTTTTTTTACTTGTGTTAGACTGAATATACCCTGCACAAGACATCTAAGAATCTTCTTTTCACCCTATGGCTAAAAAAGCACTCTCAATGAAAAGGATTTCTTGGTCCACTGAATCTTTGTGACTGTTCCAGAATGTTGGATAATGCAATGGCAATGCCTTCATAGACATGAATGCAGTTGTTTTAACTCTATTTTACCATGACCTTTTTTTCACTGTCGTCAGCATGTAGTTAATTTATTTATTTTAGCTTGCACTTATAGGTACAGTGTTGCATGCTGTGAACAATTTAAGTTATATACAAGGACTCAAAGTGGGCAATTCAGACAAGATGAGGCAATATACTGTATAGGGTATATTAAAATACAAATGGTAAAAATACTGTCTGGAAATGAATACTTACAGTATCCACATTTTACAAATGGCATAATTGTAGTCATCTTTGTGTCTCCCCGTCTCATCTATCCTCGCTCTTGAGTACACAAGGTTGTTATGGCTTATCTAGAAATAGATCAATGATAATGAGATTAATTTTAATATTTTTCACTGGAACCACTCCTGCTAATCCAACAGGATTTATCTCATGCCTGTTAATAAAACACTGTGTTAACATATGAATTTCGTCATAAAAGAGGAACTGTCCGACTTTTCACATTTCCCAGTTATTGATACATTTGGCTTTGAATCACATAAGAATATTTATAATAACTGTTACCAATCCTAAAATAAGTTTTTTTTTTTATAATAAAAAACTTCTAGCAAGATTTGTTTAGTTAACATTGGCTTTTAAACATACAACATAAGCGAGCAGTTCTTGAGAGCGCAGACGTACCTTTTTATAACAAGTGATTAGTGGTCTACTGTATACTCAATCAGGTGATGGGCTAAGCAGGAGCATGTATACTGATACAAAACAAATTGGATGTTGCGGTTACAAACAAACTTTGAGTTACAGAGAAAATATTCAAGCTTCCAAAGCCAGTAGATTAGACAGCATTCAGGTCTGAGTTGTTGAAGTTTTTCAACCCCAAGCTACCAGAAGGTAATTATATATATTAAGCAGTGAAACACACTGCTTAATATATATAATTACCTTAATTAAGTAGCACACAGCTTCAAATTCACTCTATCCCTTTCATTTATTAATTAGCAAAAACTAAATCTTTGTTTTTTTCTTCAAACAGGTTGTAGCATGTTACCGTGTGTTGGCCACATGTGTTGGTGGATGCACAGACAGCTTGCAGCTGCGGGATGAGTTGCGACAAACACGGGAAAAGGCCCAAAGGTTGGCCATGGCCATCCGTAGTCATCTGACCTCACATCTCCGAGACAAGAGCCTGCCTGAGGAGCAACGTAAGGAGATGGAGATCCTTTGGGTGGGCTTCTCCTCCAGCCTAGAGCTCCTCCATGTTGACATGTGCAAAGTTTTCAACATGGGTGACATCTTCTCTCTGTCCAAAAAGGAGACACGGGTGCAAAATGGCCTACAAGGTAAATTAAAGTATAGCCCTGACACTGATCAAACCATATTGAATTATATATCAATGTGAAAACACTTTGATGTGCAAATAATCGGCTAGAAAAATAATAATGCAAAGTAAGCTAAAATGAATGCATTTTAATACAGCAGTCGTGCACTAAACCCTACTCCAAAACAGTTTTATCAGAATCTGAACATTATAACCTCCATGAGGGTAGGAGGATTTATTGAAGGACTGTTGTAAAAGACAGCATTTACTTGTGACACAGTACCAATGCCTTCTTTGACTGAAATAAAACTGAAGTATTTACCCATTTTAAATGTTGGTAATGCAGGAGGAGGCAGTGAGGTAGCAGCCCGGGCGCTCAGTGTGCCAGACCTAAACCAACCTCAGAGCACATCCCTTCCTGCTGAGTTCGAGAGCCATGAGCGCAGCACCATGGAGAAGGATATCAGCCAACTTGACCACATGATCGATGACATGGAGATGAAAGTCAACGTTTTGCGCTGGATGGTGGACCCCCATGGGCCACAGTATCCAGACCCGCTGAGCAGCACGGACAGCGCCTCCCTGCTCTCAGTCGACGAGGAGCAGCCTGGACACCAGCCTCTACACCAGCGCAGAAAATTATTTGTGCTCTTATTGCTGGTTGCTGTTGTTTTGGTGGTAGCCACTTTATCTATTTGTATTGTCTTTTTCTCATGAGCAAAACCTTAATAAGCTCAACTTGTTTTTTCTGTTAAACCTCAGCAACGCTCAGTAAAACTGATGACAAATATCCACTGCAAGTATAGTAGTTCTTTCTTAACAAGTTCCTTTAAAAAAGGTTAACTTTTGTATAAGCAACTCAATTTGCTTGTTATGCATAGGACAATTTGTCTAAATATACACTGAAATTAATCTGGATGCAAACCAGTTTGCGATTAATAGAAGTAAATACACAGTTACCATACTGTCATGGTGAACATGAAGTGACAATAAAAATACATGGCTGCCAGTTAAAATTGGTTTCAAATATAACTAGTAAAGTATAAGACAGGTGTTTGATTTTGCATACCCAATTGTCTGAAGATGGATTTCCCTTTGTTCTATAGTACCTTTCCTAAAATACCTGTGTCACATTTTGTATCTTGTTGCCATTGAGAACATGTATAGGCTCTTATGCTTTGTAGATGATATACTGTAACAAGCAGAATATTCACTTACAATGACTAAAGCTTTTTTTGTTTCAGTATAACTTATAACATAATGAGCAGTAGAGAACTGATGTAATATCACACCCTGCTGTTTTCCATTCATTCTTATTGACTTGAACCGTAATCACCAAATATACGTATATAGATATATATAAATGTATATATTTTTTGTTTTATTTTCCTTCTTAACAGGTCAATAAGCTACAATAAGATCTGAACCAGTCTGTGAGTGTGAGCCTTTCTGAGATACTGTAGAATAGATACTGCAGGTCAAAACTTATCATACCTTATTATTTACAAACAGAGCTTAAAATTGTGAGATGATAAAATAAACCTTTTAAATGATTGATTTTCTTTTTGAAAAGTCTATGATGTCTCCAATGTGATTTAGGTAGCCTTTGTGAAAAGTGAGTTTTATTTTGAAATGTGTGACCGGAAATGTGGAAGTTTCCCGTCCTCTGCCTGTCTTTGGTCATTATACTGGTTGGTAGGGCGGCGGTAATAGCTGGGTGAAAAGTTGCAATACAGCCCCGATAGAGAGGTTAATGATATGCTATCGATATTAACAAACTGAAGTACAGGCCAGCTGCTGGCTGAAAACTAACTTTGACAATGGTGCTAAAACAGTGCCATTCGCGACTCAAACTCGGTGTTAATCACCAAGAAAAGTGGTATGACCTTTCTTTCAATCAAGGCAGAGTTACCAGTGTTATGACAGCGACCATTTCCTCAAACATGTCTTGTTTGACTGCTGCCAACACACTACCGTGTGTCCGGTGTATCATCACTCAACCTTTCAGGAGCTTTGAGAAGCCGGTATGGAGAGGGAGACACGCAGGGCAAAAGATTGTACATCTTTCTGCAGGGACATACATGACTGCAAGAGGTAAGTTAACTCACTACAGTTCATGGCCTGTTTACCAGCAGTTGAAGTATGGCACCTCGTTGTTAACTCTCAAACACCGGTAACTCTACTTCACATTGTGTGCTTGAATGCAGTGCAGGTGCATTTAAATACCTCAAAGAAAGGGTACTTTTTCTATGTGCCCACTTTGAAACCCCCAATGCGAAACTTTGCATACATTATTCTCAGATAATGGGACTGTAAAATAAGTCGTCACTGTTCACTTCATGGGATTTATCATGACTTGGACGTCTTTGTTGAGTTTCAAAATAAAAGTTCTCTTCTTCTGTTTTTTTAATGGCGTTTGGCAAACAGCTTTTATAAAAGTCGTCTTCCTGTCTACTCTGGTAATTTGAATTAAAACGTTAAGTCAAACATCAATTAAGGGCTTATTTGCACAGCTGTCATTAATTTAAAAAACGCATTCATTGTTTAATTGAAGTGCACCAAATACAAACTTCTCCAGTAACAACTGATGCTAAATCTGCAAAGTTTTCAATAGAAACATGTACCCACATCACACACTGTATTTACATAATATGCAACCTGGCCTCCAATTTTTCAGGTGTGTCATCACACCTGAAATGTCCATGACATTTAGGACATTTACAGTTTTGGTCTCCAGGTCATGCTTTAGTTTCTTCACTTATATCTTCTTATCATTGATTTCAGGGCTGAGTACTTCCATCCAGTCTGAAGGTGGGAAGCTGCTTTTTGACACCCATGCAGTGGTACGACTCTTTGAGGAAAATGGTTTGAATGCTTTTGTTATTTAAAAAAACGTCACAATATTTAAGCTTCTTCTATTATTAAGAAGCTGTTGAATTTCCCCCCAAAAATGAATATATTTTTCTTTGAACAGGCTTCACAACTCAGCAAGCTGAGGTGATTGTAAAAATACTGGTGAAGATGACAACTTCTAACATGGATGTCATTTATAGTGACATGGTGACCAAAGTGCAGCAGGTGAGGTTGTCGGAGGAGGTTTGTTTATTTTACATATACTGTCAATACAAAAGTAAGCATTATGTCAGCCCTTTTTGTTTCTTCTCTGTGTTTCATTCAGGCTGTGCCTTTAGTGCTGTAAAGGTCACCATACAAGTAGGGATGTCCCGATCCGATCACGTGATCGGGGATCGGAGCCGATCACGTGATTTTCACGTGATCGGGGATCGGGAGAAAAAAATCGGGGATCGGAATTTTTTTTTTTTTTTTTTTTTTTTTTTTATAAAATATTTTTATACATTTTATTTAATGTTACAAAACAAAAATGACCATGTTCACATCTTAAAGTCATCCTGAGGCCTTAGTTTTGGGTTAAAATTACACAACATCATGTATGTGTTGCTTCTTTTGGGCTTGTTTTCATAGACCTGGTTGCTTATTTCTCTCAAATCTGGCAACAGAGTGGGCGCAGTGTCTAATAGTAGCAGTAAGCTAACAAGAGGCTACGTTCAGCTGGTGACTCGGGAGTCGGGACAGAGAAAATGTCAGGAGTTTGGAAGTATTATAAAATTGAAAGCGAAGGCAGTGTAACAGCCAGATGCAATGTTTGCAAGGCGGAGGTTCCGCGTGGTGGAAAGAACAGAGCTACGTTCAACATGACCAATCTAATACAAACACCACCAACAACAACACGACGAGTACACAGCGGCCACTCAGGTAACGGCACTGAAACAACCGACACTTTCAGAGACTTTTAAAAGGAAAGAGAAACTACCCCAGAACAGCCAAGATAGCTGAATTCATCGCGTTGGATGACCAGCCGTTATCTGTTACCTTTTTTTTCCTCTTAATGCATTGCATAAAGATCGGATCGGGAAAAATCGGTATCGGCAGATTGTCAAAATCAAATGATCGGAATCGGATCGGGAGCAAAAAACGGTGATCGGGACATCCCTACATACAAGTATTGTTTTTATATTCCAGAGCGCATGGTTTAAATGATTAAATAATGTATATGTAATGTCAAAGTGTAATATAAAAGAAACACCTGAATAGACATTCTGTATTTCTTTCATTTGTTTACTTGTTCTTTATATGGTTTTAAAAATGAACTTTTGTGTTGTGTGATTTTGGCAGGAGATCATGTTGCAGCGCTTGATGTCTCAAATAGCATCTGTAAAGAAGGACATGTTAATCCTAGAGAAGAGTGAGTTCTCTACTTTACTGGCAGAAAATGAGGTGAGTGTGTTTATGATGAGCAGACTTAAGCTGTTTCCCAAAAGTAATTGTTGCATTCTATCTGTGCCCTTGGTTGTCTGATGATCAAAGTGATCCTGGAATTCAAATTGATATGCATAAACTGACTTTTTACCTGCAAATACCTTGTCAAATAAATTGTATATAAAAAACAAAAAGCACACATTTAGAAATCTAGATAGATAAAAAAAAATGTCATGTCAGCTAATATGAGTGGAAGAATGTATGATGTTTTTGCTTCATGTTTGCCAATGTTGCCCTAAACAGGAACATGGATGACTATATGATTTTCACAATTTTAACATTTCTCCCAGAAACTCAAGAACGAGTTACTGCACATAAAGATCCAACTGGCTGTAAGTGGTTATTCTTATTACCTTTATGTCCAAATTGTAGTCTAAGTATTAAGAAGTATTTCCTCATCTTGTTTTCATCAAAGATGATTTACGTTTTGTTGTGACTTTCCTTTGTTCATCTCCAATGCCACCTTGCAGGATGTCATGAATAAACTGCGCTCAGACACAATTATGGACATGAATTTGGAGAAAAGTCGTTCAAAAGAATTGGTAAGTGTTTGAGAATAATACATGTGTTTTGAAGATCCTCAAGTGCCCTTTTTAATTTGTATTTTTTCAATCTTAACTTGTACATAAAGATAATGACTTGTCAAATAGTCGGTTCTTGTTATTGGTATATCTTTAATTACTAAAACCTTTTTTTAATCTTTTTTCTAGAAAATAGAGAATGAGAAGTTGCTCCTAGAAACGCGAACTGAGATAATGGAAATGGTTTGTATTTTTCCAGTACACCTACAGAACATGTTTCCTATCTTTTCTAATCTGTAAATTGTTGTGCTAAACGCATACAAAGTAGAAATAGAAGCCAAAAAAATATAAATTCAATTGTTTTTTATAATGGCTGTCACTGATTGCTTTACTACTTTTAAAAAGTCTTTGCTCTTCTCAGTTATAAATATGAACTAGTGTAGGTATTTGGTGGGGCTTATCTTTATGCCTTTGTCCTATTGCCTTTTTTACAGACTGCAGAGCAAGATCGCCATTTAACTCAGACCAATATGAAAATAGACACTGAAGTGGCCGGTTTGAAAACAATGTTAGAATCTCATAAACTGGATACTATAAAATACCTTGCAGGTAAGATATTGTGCATTGTTGCTATGTAGAATAACCAATGATAGCCTTGAGAACTTAAGCTGTCAAATAGTAGACTAATGCTTGATCACTTTATCCTCAAAGGTTCAGTCTTCACCTGTCTTACTGTGGTCCTGGGATTCTATCGTATCTGGATGTAAGCAGGATTATGAATACGATTTTCATATAACGTCTCGTGACAGTGGACCTTCAATGCAGCAACTGAATTCGACAATGAAAGAGAGACAACTATAGTCTCTTAAATTATGGGATTTCGCAATTGTCGGTGCAATCTTTTTTCAGAAGGGGGAGTTATTGACAAATGGCTCTTTCAACAGATCACTGATGTGACTCTTAGAAGTAATGAAATTAAGACTATTTAATGATTTATGGTGTCTGACCACTTATCCAGATAAGCTTGATTGAAACATAAGTAAAACATTATGTGTATTTATTTTTTAATATGTATATATTGAATTGTAGATGTTGAAGAGATGCTCAGCAGAAGCTGTTGCTATTTAAATTGTGTCTGACTTTTATTTGCTTTGTGATATTTCAGTTTTAACATGAATTATTTTTTTAATCAAATGAATTGTCAAAATGTTAGTTTATCTTTCTATTGAAGATTATGGTTATTAGTATATTTAATGTAGGCTACTGTTGAAATGAGCTGGCCATTGTCAAAGAGGTCAGCTCTTTGCCATGGCAATGTCATTCTGCTTTTACTCTGCACTTCATTAAAATATGTATTTATATGCATGATTTACTGTCTCATGTGTCTCAAATATTTTCAACTCAGTCATCTGAAAGTGTGAGTTAGTTTGTGTACATTCCAGGAATATAATCGGATGATAATGCATGTCATTGCTCACTGCTCAGTGTATCCTAGCTTTTACTTTGAAACGTTTGAACCGGAAGTGCTTATGGTAGAGCTGCTGTAGTGTACTCTACTGCTGCCGACACGTGTGTAGCTGTCAAATAAGTGTTTATTCGTCAACAACTTTCCACATGACTTCTCTATGTAAGTTTACATGTATGTGTTGTAAATGTAATTCGTAAATTATCGTTATTACACTTCATATTGTGAAAAAAGACTAGCGAGCGACACACCTAGCATACGGAACCAAAGTAACGTTAAGCTAAAAGTAGGTAACGTAACGTAAGGTATGGGATGGTTAACTGTGACTAGGCTATATTTGATATATGTTTTAACAAAAGGAAAATACCATTACGTCAACGTGACAATGTTGTGAAGTAGTTGTTGCTTCACTTAGCTACTTGCCAATATAACGTTAACAATATTGTCAAATATCTAAATTAAGTACATTTAATCGAGTTTATCACACACTTTCCTGGCAGAACAGGATTACAGGATTGTAATCGTTTGAATTGTGTCCAAATGATGTCCTGAAATGTGTTTTATTACTCATTTTGCAGGCACTGTTCCGCGTTTTCTATGCAACAATGGCTGACACATTTAGTAGCAGCTCGGAGAACGTAATTCAGCGTGTCGTGGAGGTTACGGTGGGGGAAAGCAATCCTGTGGAAAAACTTGAAGAGTTGTATCAGATTAAGGACATTTGTGGCTTCATCACTGAGCATCAATTTGAAAAGGTGAGTACTTAATTTGTACTTTTCGTCACATAGACATTTGTAAATTGAATCATGAAGGGACAACACAATTATTGTCAAAAGGCTGTTTGACACACTAGCCAGTGAAAGCAACTAAAGTTAAATCATGGATAATATTTACAGGTTGCTCTGCAGTTTCCCGATGAGCTGCTGGTGGATGCAGTTGCAGTAGCATTGGAGATTGAGAGAAACAGCAATGCCAAGCCATTCATTCTGGGAGATACATCCTACGGCAGGTAACACACCAGGTTTAAATTAGAAAAGTCTTATTTGGTCTAATAATGCGTACATGATACTACATTTGTAAGTGTTTGGATCCTTCCTGCAAAGTCACTGCTCTACCGTGAGTTTTAATGGATGCATTCTTAATTCTTGATTCTTTTTTTTGGCAGTTGCTGTGTGGACGAGGTAGCTGCAGAACATGTTGGAGCCGACTGCATCGTGCACTATGGCAGTGCTTGCCTCAGCCCGTCTAAAAGGCTGCCATTGATGTATGTGTTTGAGAGACGACCGGTGGATCTTGAGAAATGCACTTCTGCCTTCAGAGAACTCTACCCAGACACACACAGTCACATCATCATCCTCTATGATGTCAACTATGTTCATGCTATTGGTAAGCTTTTCTAAAAAAGCCCTGCTATATGAAAGAGATAATACATATGTATGCCATTTTATAGAACAGCTTTAGATTCAAGCATTTCTTTTCACACAACATTGTTTTAATTTGTTTTCAGATGACCTTATGGCACTCCTTTCACCAGAGTATCCACACCTAGTCGTCTCAGAACTTGTTGTGGAAGGGGAGCAGTGTTACAGCCATGGTCGGATAAAGAGACTACACGATGACACATGTCTGTCAGAGGGAGATAACAACCAGCTTATTTATCAGTTTGGAAGGCAGTTCTCCCTGACAAGTGGTTTAAGCATCACGGATTACAGTATGTTCTATGTAGGCCAAGAAGGAGCAACTCTGACAAACTTCATGATGACTTGGAATCGCTGCTCATTTTGTTCTTTTGACCCCATCAAAATGACCGGGAGGACAGAGTCAGTCAGTATCAACCGTGCCCTAATGAAGCGTTATTACGCTATAGAAAGGGCCAAAGATGCCAATGTTGTTGGCATTCTAGTTGGCACATTAGGAGTGTCTGACTACCTCAAAATCATCCAGCAGTTGAAGGAGGCAATCCATGGAGCTGGCAAGAAGAGCTATTTGTTTGCCATGGGGAAACTGAACGTGCCCAAACTGGCAAACTTTCTTGAAATTGACATTTTCGTGTTAATCGCGTGTCCTGAGAACTCACTGCTGGACTCAAGTGAGTTCTATAAACCTGTGGTAACACCATTTGAGATGGAGGTGGCCTGCAACAGGAAGAGGGAGTGGTCAGAGGAATATGTCACAGACTTTCGACATCTCCTGCCAGGTTAGATCTTGATATATTACATCGGACAAACCTACTCCTAAATTGTTATTTATATATGCCTATAGCTAATTTATAATATTTTCCCCCCAAACTTACACCAGGTGGACAGAGTCACGTGCCTTTGGCTGATCAGCAGGAGGAGGGCGGTGAGACTGACATGTCTTTAATCACTGGAGCTCTGCGGAGTCAGAATCTGATGAGCAGTGAGCCTGAAGTTTCCTCATTCGGCTCTTCAGTGGTCCTCAGGAACCAGATGCTCACTGTGGCCAACACCAACTCAGCTGGTATGAGACCATCAAAAAAGTCTTGCTTGCTTTAATTTCTGTACATCCATGAGTTTATTGTAGACTTTGCACTCATACAGTTATTGCATCTTGTGCATGTGAGAAAACAATCAACCAGTGTTTTTCTTATACAAATATACTTTTGAATATCATATATTACGTTTACATATTTGTGCTTTCTCTTCTCAGCGTCTTTTCTGGCAGAACGAAGCTGGCGTGGCTTGGAGCAGAATTTGGGAGCGACACCTGTGGTGAAGGCAGTAGAGGGCAGGAGAGGCATAGCTATTGCCTATGAAGAGGAAGGATAACTTACCAGTAGCACACAAGACTATTTAATCATGCCTGAGGCATTTAGATGTATATTGCTGAATTGAATTACTCAATGTAAGAAATAATTAAATGTTTTTTTCATAAAATGTATATCAGATATCACTAGTTTTTGTTATCGCATTTATCCAAACATAACAACTTGACACACTTGAAGAGGAGTTTATTTGAATGAACAGGTGTTTAAAAATGTAAATATTAAGTATTTATAGGTACAAATTAATCGAATGTGGTTGATTCTAAAATTGTTTCGAGAGAGAGAGTACCTGACCAATGATCAGATTATCCTTTTATTATTTTTTGCTGCTTACTTTCATTCATTTAAATTACTGGCCATTGACAGGAACTTCTTCCACAAAGGACGCAGGAAATATACCAGTATCCCCGTTGCATTGCCCTTCCAACCAATCCTGGTTAACTAAAGGAAAAGAAGAAACGTATGAATTAGAATGATATTTTTTGGATAAATCATTGAGTTTTTAAGCAAATTTGATTAAAAAGAATTGACCCTCACCTCTAGAGATTATTGTGATTGTATCGCCTTCATGAAACTTGAGATCCTCTGGATTTGATGACTCATACGAGTAAAGTGCCACCAAGGGAACCTCGATATTTGGACTGTGATCTGCTTGCTAAATACACAAAATACAAACAAATGGTAATTTTCACAATACTAATAGCACTTTCAACCAGTATCTGTATTTTTTGAAGCCAGCATAAACGGGAAAAGATGAGCACTTCCTTACCTCTTTTGCGTAACACCACAAAGTGATGTGCACACCACTGGCACGACTCCACACACTTTCCATGTCTGTGCTGTCATTGATAACACTTTGTCCCATAGCTTCAGGGGTTAGACTATATGGAACAAAAGGATTTAATGTTGTACTCTTACCACTAACACATATCAATTAAACTATAAGATGATTTTTTTTTTTAAATGTACACCTTACCTCAAAGTGATTGCAGTCATAGGGAGATTCAGTTTCCTACTGATTTTTTCAATCAGTATTTCATAAGGAGATCCAGGTGGTACTGAGACAGCAAAGGTGAATGTGAAACGGACTTTGACAATAAGTGAATTGTCAGGAGGCTGTTCTTCCTGGCATTAATAAAAGGACATGTTGATGGAATTTTAAATAAGAAAGAAAATGAACACTTCACATGTTGGCACATTTTGGGATATACTGGTGTAATATAGTCATGAGAATGATTGAAATCAAGGATTTGACTCAGCATACCTTTCTCTCTGAGTCGCTGCTGTCGCTCCTTGGAGTTAGACCTTAAATACAAAGAAGGGGGATACAAATGGCATTTGCTCAAATACTTTCTCTTATGTTACAATATTTGCTTTGACCAATGGATTTAGTTAGTCATAGGCAATTTCTCTATTGTAGTTTTCTTAATCCGTCAGATGAGTGTACCTGGTTTTCTTTTAGGTCTGGTCGGTGGTTCCTGACTCGGAGGCTGAGGTATTCCCTGTCCACCGTTAAACAATAAGACTGGTAATGTTATAAAAAGTCTTATAGCAAAGAATACATCACTTCTTAAAATACTGCAAAGCAATCTTCAAAATTAAATATGAGATATTTAATTCCTTACCTCGTTCTGTTTGGAAGCCATGGACATCTCCAAACGCTCCAGGTAATTGTTAGGAACAAGTCCCCTCTATAATGAACAACATGCTTAATACTATCAATAAACATGAAACAATTCTGTTACGTTCTCTACACATATTTCATATAAAAGAAACAACAGTTATGGAAAAAAACACTAGCAAATTGGTTGCAGATGTACAGTAGTGGCCTTACTCTTCCATTAAAGATCACAGATGCCCAGTTATCGGCTCCCTTCTGCAGCACAAACACAACATTGCCTGGCACGACAGCCAACTCATCGCTGGTCTCAGGAACAAACTGAAACAGGACAGTGTGGGGTTCTCCTTCCAAAGCCCTGTGAAGACAGGAGAAATCCACATGGCATCAAGAGAGCTGCTGGCACACCAGTCTATTTTTTACCGGATAACAATTGCTTCTCTATTGTTTACATCCACAGAGTTATATACAATATCCCCTTCAATGAAAGCATAACACTTCATAAATGTTTCCCTCTTTCCTTTCCAAATAGAGGGCTGATTTTTTTTCCTTTAACACATCCACGTGCGGTGGAAAATGTATCTTCTATAGCAAAAATATTGACAAGTATCAAGGTAATTTACAATTATTTTTGCATTCGACAAGGCTGAATTAGAACAACTGAAAAGTAATCATATTTTTTTACAGTTAAGTATACACGAAACTACCTTAGAACCTCCGGCTCCTTTGGACTAGTTGGACCGTCTTGTACCTGTGTCAGATGTACACAGAAACACAAAGCATCCAATCATTAGTGCTGACTCAAAGCAGCAATTAAGTTGAAAAAAATATTCCATGTAATTTGTTTTTTAAATATAATGTAACACAATCAGCTGCTAATAACAAATGATATCTTTGTCATCAGATAATTATTTTTAAAGCGCTAAAGAAGAACCCATATTTCACCTGTGGCTGTAATGGGGCAAATCCAGAGAAGGCATCCTGAGGAACTACAGAGGCAACCACCTGAAGATAGCAGAGAAAAAATGTAGCTTATGTATGGCACATTGTTATAGCGTTAAGTCATTGACATTTTAGTGAACTAGATGAGCTGTATTCAAATACAGTTAAATGCCACACTAAATAATAATGTAGTACACATGGTAACTAAACGTATCACATAAGTATTACCTTTGCTTTGCCCAGGTAGTCCTTCTTCTCCAGCTCAGCAACATAGTGCTTATTTGGTTTGAAAAGCACTTTTGATGGGAACTCGACTGGTTTGAAAAGTTTCTGTTTCTGTTGGTGATAATGCATTGCAATGGATATTATAATATTTGTCAAGTAATTCTGACATGAAAGAAAATTCTAATTACATCACTAATACCACTGTGTATAATCATTACATAGTGATTACTTTACAGTATGTTAACTGACCAGGGCGGAATCCAGAGCTTTATCGATGATGTTGAGCTTGGCGTCTGTCTTGTAATTGAGAGCCTTCACAAGGTTTTCGTGGGCTTTTTCCCAGTTACCCAGCTGAGCCACACACAGAGCCATATTGATAAGAACCTATTGCAGTAAACATTGTTATTATATAAGCTTGCTTTCCACTAATAAGGAGGCTTCACAAGAACATATAAACATGATTGGAGGCTTTTAAATACTTACCTCACATGCATATAATTTGTATCTGAGACCAAGCGCTTTGTAATCTATCAGCTGGTTGCCTCTTAGTGCTTTGAAAGCTTGCTGGAAATCAGCTAAACTCTCCTCATACCTTTGAATAAAAAAAAATCCAAACATAAAATCAAATTATTTTTGCACGTAATAATAATAAACCAAAAACAATTACAAAAAAATTACCTAAATGTATGATAACGAAAACATACTGTGTGTAGTATTTTTGAATTACAGTGTTAAATATGAAAACGAATTGTGGCCATTGAATTGAGATGACTAGTGTTTCTTGCCTCTTCTTTTTGTAAAATGTCATTCCTCTTTGAAAGAAGGCAACAGCCAAATGCTCATCTTTACGTATGCTGCAATCAAACGCCTGAGAAACACAAGAAAACACAGTTACTTCCTCTATTAGAAAAGAGAAATGGTAAACTCTACTTCTTCTTTCTCAGTGACTTGCGATTTCATACTCAGAAATATCACATCATTTCATCTCAGCCTAATCAGTTTACATCCCTGAACAAGATGAGTAATATTATAAATAAATACACACTTAATCTATGAACAAAGGTCAAACGTACCTTTTCAGCAGCATCCAGGTCTTTGTTGAGAAGATGGAGACAGCCAATGTCAAAACTAATTTTAGAGTTTGGATCTTGGATAGACAGGAAAATCTTGAGTGCCTCTGACAAATCCTGTCTGTCAACACAAGTTACAGCCATGTCCCACTGGCGCAGAGTGTCAACAAAAGACATAGTTGCTGGGTAGGAGTACACTTCGCTAAAGACCAAAATAGGGAAGTTTTTCTGATTTGTACCAGCTGCACCAGGAAGTGTGATGATGGTGTCATTGTTGGTACATTTATTATGCAATAACAGGTTTGAAGGCCCAATTGATTTTGTCCTTCCTCCCATGTGATTATATGGCAATTGCTGACGTGTGTTGGTAGGCCCTTTACATTCCCATACTACTTTTACTTGAATGTAATGGTTTTGCATAATATATACAGGTAGCCTATGCTAAGGGGTGATGGATTGCTGACATATTTAAGGAGTGGCTTTTAAAGTACAGAGACAAGCAATTGGAAACTATTTAAGTGTCGGTTTTTGTCATTAAAATTAATTTACAAGCCTTAATGGAGCACCAGGTTGTCTTTATTTTTGCCCCTTTGTCTTGAATTTATCAGCATGAGCAACACAGTTAGATGTACAACATTACAACTTCCGGTACATACTTTTATAAATAAATTGCTCTCATTGAGTCATTTTCAAATACAATTCCCTCTAGCGCGCTATGTTTTATATTCTAAAGGATTAGAACAACTTCACTGAGAAAGTTTGACATGTGTTTTGTGTTATTCACCCTCATATGTACCCCAATGTAAATAAAGCTTTTATTTTAAAAGAAACCAAAACGTATTTCCGTTATTCACTTAACTTCAGACTAGTTGCCCTGGTGCAGACGTCGCGAGCTAAACAAACATGTCTTTGCTACATTATAAGACTACGGACCTTAAAGATACGTAGGCAAATGCAAAGGGAAATATGCGACGATTAATAAGAAACGTGCCAAACATAAAACTGTCGATGGAGAGTTGATATATTATTCAGTTGGTTAGCTTAGTGTAGCCTTTTGTGACCGTGTTTACACATTGCTAGCTAGCTTTCCAGCTGGCTAATAAGCTAGCAAAATGGACCTTGGAACAATGTTATACAACAATTTAAAAGATGTTACATGGAGCACTACGTCTTTACCATTAGATCAACTTGTGAGTGCTTATAGGTTGCCTCAAATGGCCAAGCTGGATAACGGTTAGTAACTTGCTGTCACTTCTAAATTGTCTTTTGCTAGTTGCTACATTGCTAATTAGCAGCTAAAGACAAACCTACCATAACTATTTGAAAGACAAATAGTTCCTCTTGGTTTTGTCAGCGTATCGTCTTAATTCATGTCAGAAGTGTCATATTGGTATTAGAACTTTGTAATGTTTAATGATGATTCACTGTCTTTTTCTGCGCTATTATATATCGTGCAGTTACAACAAATAACGACGTTTGTCAGTGTTACTTTATATGTCCTGTAACCTCTCTGCTGTCACGCTGCAGCAATGCAAGTAAATGCAGAAAGTTAGAGTATAAACATTTAATGTAATAACAGCGATAATGTTTCATGTTAGGTACAATGCATTAAGGCCCGAGGAGACTGTTAGGTGTGCAACACAGTGATTACATGGAAATGTGTGCATATCATAAACTGTAAAGGTAGCGTGATGCCAGATTTAGACACAGATATTCGACAATGCTTGCTTTTGATAGAGGTATGGATTAATGCATGTGTCATTGTCCATGGAGGATAATGATTTTATTGTACTGAGTAGTGTAATGCCTTGGCTTGAGTCGAAAAAGCATGTAAGGCTCAAAAGTGGTATTTATGGCATATTGTTTAATGTTTGGGATAATCCTTTAATATTTGTCTCAAACACATTTTTCTTCCTTGTACCACATTCTAATCAGGCCTATTAATACAAAAATACATGTTAAACAACTTCAGACAAAGCTATGACCATCTGTGTTAGAGATATAATATTTAATATTTCAACAACTTTATACCAGGAATTTCACATTTTGCAAGCCGAATTATGCAACATTTACATTATGTTTCACGGGATACATGAAGTGTGTTGGTGTTTTATAAGATAGGCCTTTATTGATCTCTAGAGGTCATGACACTTTTATGACAGATTTTGATTGTGCAAAGGGGCAGCATCAGAAGATATTCTAAATGTTTATTAAAGAAGGTGTACGTTTTACAGTATTCCAATCTAGCATGGATTTTGAGGGATAATCAGTTTTGTCTGTTGGTTTAATTCTTTCAGGTCAGATAGTTGAAGGGCTCAGAGACAATGACTACCTCTTGATTCATTCCTGCCGTCAGTGGACAACTATTACTGCTCACAGTCTGGAGGAGGGACACTATGTAATTGGGCCCAAAATAGAGATCCCGGTGCACTATGAAGGTGAGCTGCATCTGCTTGGATGCTCGAGGCTTTTGAATTTGCTTGACATTGTCTTTTGGTATCTTTGTATATGTCAAAACCAACACACACAGGGTTGGAATTGTGGGCTTCTTGAATGATTAAATGCATTTTACATTTTAAGGTTTTTTTGATGTATCAGTGTTTAAAAAAAAAACCTATCAACAATAGGTTCCTAAACCTTTCAGTTGCTTTGATACGACTTTTCCTACTTCAGGTCAGTTTAAGCTACTGGAGCAGGACAGAGATGTCAAGGAGCCTGTGCAGTACTTCAACAGTGTGGAGGAGGTGGCTAAAGCATTCCCTGAAAGGGTATACGTTATGGAAGAAATCACGTTCAATGTTAAGGTATATCTCATTTGTTATAATTGATTGTTATGACTCCTTCTGAATTTGGTAGTGTCTATTAAAATGTATAAACTAAATCAACATTTAAAAAAATGACGAGGTGGAAAAGCTCTCCTTCATTTTGTCAGCCCTTCTCATCTTTCTCAAATCTCATCTTTCCACAGATGGCTTCAGGCGAATGCAATGAAGATACTGAAGTGTACAACATAACACTTTGCACTGGTGATGAACTGACATTAATGGGCCAGGCTGAGATTCTATATGCCAAGACCTCCAAAGAAAAATCAAGATTCAACACAATTTTTAAGAAGATTGGGAAGCTAAACTCCATCAGTAAGATCGGTCGAGGCAAGATGCCCTGCTTGATCTGCATGAACCATCGCACCAACGAGAGCATCAGCCTGCCTTTCCAGTGCAAAGGCAGGTTCAGCACCTGTAGCCCACTGGAGCTCCAGATGCAGGACGGCGAGCACATCATCAGGAACATTGTGGAGAAAACCCGTCTCCCTGTCAATGTATCAGTCCCCAACAGTCCACCCCGCAACCATTATGACCTCCACCTCATTCGTGAGGGTCATCGCTACAAGTTAGTCAACATTCAGACAAAGACGGTGGTTGTGTGCTGCATCCTGCGAAGCAACAAAATTATCCCCATCCATTTTCCCTTTCATATGGCCATGCCTAGATGTATTATTCCAGAAGAGCTCTTGCAAGGAGAGCTGTGGCTAGAAACTATGGTACATCGCTGGTTCTCCTTCTGCCAGGATCAGTTTGACATAGATGACTATTCTCGTGCTGTTCGGGATGTGCGGACAGACTGGAACGACGACGGTAAGAGCCCCAAGAAAACCAGCGGGAATGGCAGTTGCAGTGGAAGCAGTGGATGCAGCAGCAGCTCCAACGGTTGTCCCAACCAAATGCAGATTCCCAGTTCTTTAACCTATGCCCGGGAGGAACTCACCCAGTCCTTCCACCGTCTATCTGTGTGCGTGTACGGCAGCAACCTGCACGGTAACAGTGAGGTCAATTTGCAGGGCTGTATGACACTGTGTGGAGATTGGGCTCTTCTGCCCTCGGATAGCATCCCTTCAGAATCGGGAGAAAATGAACACTTTTACCCCGAACTGATGGATAGCACAAACTCACAACCATCCCTCAACAAGTCTGACCTCCCCTATGAGGAGCTGTGGTTGGACCAATTGAGAGGTCAGATCCCAAAACCTTCTGTGAGTGAGGGACTTCGAGGCATCAACAATGGCTGCAGCACAACAACAGCCCTGTCATACCCAGTCACTACAGATTCGTCTCTTACTCCACCACCGGTTCCGCCCAAGTCTGAAGCTGTGAGTATAATCTCTTTTGCTTACAGTGGTAATCCTTAAGATTTGGTTACACCGGTGGTTACTCTGGCAACAGCAAGTGTCAGGGTTTCCCACACATAGACTTTACTTGGGCGGGCCGCCCAGGTATATTAACGGCCGCCCAAGTATATTTCGCGACCCATTTCGTTTTTTTATTTTTTATTTTTTATCCGTCCGTGACCACGACATGGCCACTGTCATACAGATCATAAATCAAAGCACTTGCAGTGTTTCCCCTACCATTGTCTTGGAGGGGCACATCACGTCACCCCCCCCCCCCCCCCAAGTATATTTCAGATCTGTGGGAAACACTGAGTGTAGTTTAATACTACAGCAAACAGCAGCTTCTTTGTCAGAAATACAACATCTGATGAATTAGGTTACTGTGCAACCAACAATTTAATTATAACTGTAAGCGCGTTTCTGATTTAATGTTGCTCAATCTCTTCATGTAACACTGAATAAATTCCTTCTCATTTCACTACATTTCACCCTCTAAAAATGTTTTACCCTTCTAGGTGAAGGAAGAATGCCGTCTTTTGAATGCCCCACCAATTCCTCCAAGAAGCTTGAAACAGATGCCATCAGTGCCCATCCTGTCTAAGCCACGGCAGCAAGACACTCGGTCTCCAAGTCCGACCCTCTCCTACTATTCTTCTGGACTCCACAACATGTAAGAATTGGCACCATTTCATAGCAATCATGTGACACTAATCACAACCAATGAGAATAAGAAAGAAAATATCAGGAAAATAAAATCACTTTGACAAAAGTAAGATTTGATACATTTAGGATTACACATATTTGTTTAAATGGCAACTTTATGCTAATCCTTGATAGACATACATTTTTATTCACCCACATTTCTGTTTTTTAAATATTTGTTATGAGGTCTACTTGAGGTTTGCTCTTATACCCCAAAATATTTTTGTTTTTCCATCAGTAGTGGAGCATCTGAGCAGGAGGCCGCTGATCCACAAGAACCAAGCCATGTGTGCAACCCCTGCAACTGGGTTAGATCCCACAGCATTGAGCCGAATGTGACGTGGCCAAGCAGTAGCCTGCCATCAGATGGGATG